ACTGACAAACTAAAAAGAACCAATTAAAATGTGTGTGTGTGTGTGCATGTGTGTGTACATGTATGTATTGAGCATCTCTGAGTCAAAAATCAAAAGCTTTTTGAGTGTTGATATATGTTCAAAAGTTGTATTTTGTAGCATTTTGGATTTCCAGATTAGAGATGCTCAGCCATTAAAGTCTAGACATTTATTCCAAAATCTGAAACATTTCTGATCCCAAGCATATTGGACAAGTAATCTAGAACCTATATGTCCCTAGCAGTATATTTCTAATCCCTTTTCAGAAGTATAGATTCCCCTCAATTATTTGGACGTAACAAAGTTTATTTGACCACTTCTTCACCACTGGATATTGTAAAAATAAATGTTCAGTGGTTTTTCCCCCCCAGATTTTTGCTATTACACATAATACTATATTGAATTATCTTGCACAAATGGAATTTTATATTTCGGCCTGCACATCTCTAGGAAGGAATCCTACATGTGAGATTGCTAGGTAGGTAGTGCACTTGGAAATACTTCTAGATACTGTCAAATTCCCTTCCACAGATTTACCATTTTTTTGTTACCACCAACAATTTTAGGATATCTGTTTTATCACAGTCTACCAAGAAAACAGGTTGTCAAATTTTAGATATTGCTGCCAAGTTCCAGAAGAAAACTGGTATCTCCTTTATGCAAAGTTGAGTATCTTCTTAGTATGCTGGAGTTGTGGTCATTTTTCTGTAAATTTATTCATGTCTTTTGCCCATTTTCCTTTTGGATTGCTATTTTTCTCAATTTTTGGAAGGTCTTTGCAAATTAGGAATATTTTATTTAAATTGATAATATTTCCCATAATTTATCTTTTTTTTTTTTTTTTGCTTTTGTTACTATCATACTTGCAGAAATTTTTTATTTAATCAAATTGATTAATTTTCCTTATTCTAAACATTGAATCATGGTCTGGAGTTTTTTTTCATTTCCAGATTACAAAAGAATTTATCCATACTTTCTTTTCTGCTAGTACTTATATGGTTTCATTTTAGATTTCCAGATTAGAGATGCTCAGCCATTAAAGTCTAGGTATATATTACAGTCTGGTCTCTTACAAAGCCACTGGCATTAAATTATAGGGTCCACCCTGATGACCTCATCTAATCCTAATCAATCTGCAAAACCACTAGGAGCAGCAGGGGTACAAACCTGTGTTCCTAGCTACTCTGGAGGTGGAGGTGCACATCAGCCATTAAGTCTAGGCATATAATCCATTTACATTTAGGTCTTTGATTCATTTGAAATTCTTTTAGAGTTTGCATAATGAATTCAAATCTGCCTCTGGCATAGAGATTTTTTTTTTTTTTTACCCCTGCAAGGTACTGGGGATTGAACCCAGGGGCACTTAACCACTCAGCTGTATCCCCAGCCCAGGGTCTTACTGAGTTGTCCAGACTGGCCTTGAACTTGGGATCCTCCTCCTTTAGCCTTCTAAGTAGCTGAGATTACAGATGTTCGCCATGGTGCCCAGCTCAGTATTTTGTTTTAATTTTGGTAAGATTGACTCTCTCTTTTTTTCTTTGCAGGGATTCTGTCTTCCTTTGTTTACTCATGTTTATAAAGTAAGTTCATAATTAGCTTGTCTAACTTGAAAAATTTAATATTTTTATTGATACCACATTAAATTTAACTTGGGGAGAACTGACATATACTTAAGATGAAAAATCTTACTATCTGAGAACATGATACATCTTTCCATTTGTACAGTTCTGCTTTTTTGCCTTTCAAGAGAATGTTTTTGCATTTTTATGCAAGTTTTTTATTTTTTTGGTTGAGACAGTTTCTAACTATGCTACCCAGACTGCTCTCAAACTCTTGAGCTCAAACAGTCCTCCCACCTCCACTTCTAGAGTAGCTAGGAACACAGGTTTGTACCCCTGTTGCTCCTGGCAGTTTTGCAGATTGATTAGGATTAGATGAGGTCATCAGGGTAGACCCCTATAATTTAATACATGTGGCTTTGTAAGAGATCAGACATACTCATAAGGAATTATCCATACATACTCATAAGGAATTATCATACTCATAAGGAATTATCCATTCTCCTCTGATTATTTTTAATATACTTAATTTTTATCAAATGTCTTTTAGTATCTAAAAAAAACCAGCAATTTCCCTTCTAAGCTCTATTACTCTGAAGAATTATATTAATGGATCTACTAATATTGAACTACCCTTGCATTCCTGGAATAAACAACACTTAGTCCCTGTTAACACCCAGGGTGGCCTAGATTGAGGTGTGGTAACAAATAGCCCCTAACCTTAGGAGCTTACAAGCATTTATTTCTTGTTCATGCTACATGTCATACAGTGGGTCAGCTGTTCCAGAACTCAAGGCCTTTGAGTAGCTGCCATCTGAAACATTACCTATTAAGGAAGAAGGAAAAGATGATATTATGAACCAAGGGTTCTCCCTTAACTTTTGCTTAGAAATCATGTCACTTCTACTCACAGAACAAATTACATGTCACACCTATAAGTTCAACAAGGCAGGGATGTATAATCCTCCACAGGAATGAGCAATGCAAAGAAGAAGAACCAGAATATTCTGTGAAAAACAATACAGTGTACCACTTATATGTCATTGGGCTTTAATATTTTATTTAGAATTCTTCCATCAACTTTCATAGGGGAAATCACTCTGTTTATATAGTTTCTCACTTGGTAAAAATAACTTGGACATAAAAGTAAGACTGCAAGGTAATTGACACATAGTAACTAATGTTAAGTATTTTGCCAGGCCCAGTGGCATGCCTGTAATCCCAGCAGCTCAGGAGGCTGAGGCAGGAGGACCAGCAAAAGCGAGACACTAAGCAACTCAGTGACACCCTGTCTGTAAATAAAATACAAAACAGGGCTGGGGAGGTAGTGCCCCTGACTTAAATCCCCAGTACACCCCCTCCAAAAAAAAAGTATCTTGATGGCTTATTGTTGAATAATAATAAAAGCCTTTTGATATTATACTACATCTAAATTAAAATATTTTCCTTTTAAAAAGAAAAAAAAAAAAAAAGTCCCTTTGGAAAATTTCTCCTGGAAAGAAGAGGGGAAAAAATGAAGGAATTTAGGAATGAAAAATACCTTCTCCTGAAAAGCGAAATTTCACTGACCTGCACCCAACATGTGTCTTAGGAGTATGTTTTTAATATTTGTCACTTGCCACTTTCCTACCCTGGCTGGTAAAATGTGAGTTTCTCCGCACACATTCCAGACAGTACTTTCTACTGAGCAACTGTGCTAAAGTTGGCCAAAGGACATGCCTGAACGGAGCAGCTTACTAAAGAGGCAAGAATCTTCCTGTGGGAGTAGCCTGGAGGTTTTCCTATCAGCCTCTGCCCCCTGAAATCCCCCACCCTACCAAGTCTATGAGCCTCCTGTGTAAACAGCAGCTTTTGCCTGGGCATCCAACAAGCAAACATTGCCTCACCTGTAAGGCAGGCGATTTGTTAATGTTTATTCATATTTTTCATATAGATAAACCAAACTGAAAACAAGTAGCCCAATGGCCTAAGGCCACTTCCAGAGCTGCTTGCTTCCTCAAAGTCCCCTGGAGCACTGCTGCTTGAGTATTTTCCTTACCTTTCCCATAGCAAAGGACACCATGCATCAAGTTCTGGCTGTTTCCCATATAAGTAATTTAGTTCAGCTTCATCTTTGGTATATAACTTTACCAAAATTGGGCATAATAAAACCCTGTCTTAAGGTATTATCAAGTCCCTGGGTTAGTGAATAGAGAATATTCACTAATATTCACCTAATATTTGGAGGCGAAAGCCAACTAATTCTAGAAAATGGAAACAAATGACAATGAAATTTGTGATAGTTATCTGAGTTCTACAGGTCCTGTTAGTACACATTCAGCACATTTCAGTCTCTGAAATCTTCATTAATAGTTAATATAATACTTACTCCAAAATCTCTGACAGACACAAACTACATTCAAATGTTAACACTGGCATTCACATTATGGCCAACCTACCTTCCCAGCCTTTTCTTTTACTTTATCTACAGCTAACCTAAACACTGGCCAAACTGGAAGTCTTTCTTCTGAGACATAGCTCCTGCCTGCCTCCGTGGGTGTTTTGTGTGTGTGTGTGTGTGTGTGTGTTTGTGGTTTTTTTAATATTTATTTTTTAGCTTTAGGTGGACACAATATCTTTATTTTTATGTGGTGCTGAGGATCGCATGCCAGGCAAGCATGCTACCACTTGAGCCACATCCCCAGCCCTCCTTGGGCGTTTTTGTTCTTGCTGTTTTTCCCAGCGGAAGGCACTCTCCATCATGTCTGCTTATCAAAACCTACAAGAGTTCAAGGCCAATTGGGACACTGTTCCACACATCTATAATTCTGACAGTTCTCGAAAGCTCTTTCTCCAGTCTGGGCTCTTTTTAATGGGATGTGCTAGGGGCACTTGTTCCAACTGGGCTCATGGCAAAAAGTCACCTTCTCCTCTAATGACAATATGCATTATCCAAGACATCATCCACGTAGTTAATGGGAGTCAAGACTGAGTCACAGTGATTACAGGATATACAGGAAGTATAACACACATCATTGCTATCCTTAAAGAACAGGAAAGACAATGTCTACTACAATGACCAAGTTTCAGCTTGTTCAGAATTACCCACAAAGATGCTATATACATAAATGGAAGTGAACTTGAAAAAATACCTGGTGGGGCGTGGTGGTGCACACAAGTAATTCCAGGTACTTTGGAGGCTGAGGCAGGAGGATTGAAAGTTTGAGCCAGCCTGAGCAACTCAGTGAAACACTGTCTCAAAATTTAAAATATTAAAAAGGCCAGGGTATAGCTTAGAGAGCACTTGCCTAGTATATGCAGGTCCCTGAGATCAATTCCCAGCACCAAAAAATTACCAAAAATAAAAGCCAAAGATGGTAACTCTCAAGTAGAAATAGTAGTTTTTCACTATTTCCTGTCATTTGGATTAAAAAGCCTCTTCATTGAGTCAAATTGTACACAAACAAAAACTGTCACTTGCTTTTACTTCAGGCCCACCCCATTTTACTATGCTTTGGCCGTAGCAATGAAACAAAAAACCCTAACATACACGGAAAGGAAGTAAAAGTTGTCAAAGAAGTGTCAGATCTGAAGCAATACATAATCTGACATATACACAATAGTATGTAATTGTTAAAGAATAAAGGGGCACCAAAATCTGTGTACAGTGAGCTATTATTTTAAAAGACTTTGGAGGTTGTAATACTTAGCAATGAACACACTTGCTCTCAGGGAAACAGAATGATTTTTCACTGTATAAACAAAGAACATTAAGTGTATTTTTAAGGCACAAACTCTAGAATAGAATGATTAAACATCTCATACTCTACTGGCATGTTTTTTTTTTTCCCTGACAAGTTTTTTCTCCAAAGAATATTAAGAATGCAAGAAAGATCTTATGAATATCCCTCACTGTAGACAATTACAATTATATTATGCCTCATAATACTAAGAAGGTTAAATGGGCCTTTTCAAAGCAAACATACCATAACTTCTGTTTTTGTAAATTCTGATTCTCAGAAGGAAAATCTTTTAAAGCTTCACAATATCGTTTCTTGTACAACTAATACTAGCTAAGAATACAATGCTCTAATATGTGGTTAAATGGCTTGGAAAGCAGAAGGTTAAGGACCTACTAGCTTTAAACTCACTTTTCCACAATAATTTTATACATATTTATGTACATACATAAGCTTTCAAACTTTTGGGATGTTTTGGTATTAAAGCAATTTTGCAAATCTTTAATCAGACACACAGTCGGGAACTGAAATAAAAACAAGAAGGAACAAAAAAAAAGCAAACACAAATTTCCAAAATGATTTTGAGAATGCCCACAAGCTACATAACTACTAACATGAATTCAGGGTAGAATGACCAAAACAAAAGTACCTGGTCTTTTCTCAGCAGTCTAATGCCAAAACTTTAAAAGCTTCTTTAATGCTAGTAAACCTTAGCCTTTTTATTGATGGAGCTAAAAATTAGGGGGAAGGGGTGGGGAGAGGAAAAGAAATGAGAACCAACAGAGATCAACATTTTATTATTAATACTCATTCCTTTTGTCTTATGCTTTGCTTTTATATAAATACAGACCACTTAAATAAATTACCTTATAAACTTATAATAAAAATATTTTGATTTAATTTAAAAACCACAATAGCATTTGTTTGTGGTCAAATTAGAATTATACCCACATTACCATATGCCCACACCTAGAGCCAAGAGAACTGGCTCACAGGAGTGTCTGCACGCAGATGGCTGTCATTCCTGGTGAGCACATGGTGGAGATGAGAGAGGCCAAACTTGAAGAATGCTGTCATTCTAATTACTTTTACTCCATTTTTTTACTATATCTTCTCTCTGACCACGAACACAGGAATCTTCTGCCCATCCTTGGGCTCCAAGACAACCTCCTGAAGTTGCCACCTAAAAAGCCAAAAGGATTGTCTCTTTAATCTACAAATCAGAAGCAAAATACGTGGTCCAAAAGTAATGGAGAAGTAGAGGATAGGAAAGGCAGCAGAACACAACAGACACTAGTATGGCAATATGTAAATCAATGGATGTGTAACTGATGTAATTCTGCAATCTGTATATGGGGTAAAAATGGGAGTTCATAACCCACTTGAATCAAAGTGTGAAATATGATATATCAAGAAATTTGTAATGTTTTGAACAACCAACAATAAAAAATTAAAAAAAAAAAAAGAATAATAATGTCTTGGGCTGGGATTGTGGCTCAGTGGTAGAGCACTTGCCTAGCACAGGCGAGGCCCTGGGTTCGATCCTCAGCACTACGTAAAAATAAATAAGTAAAACAGAGATATTGTGTCCAACTACAACTAAAAAAATAAAAGAACATGATTTTAAAAAGAAGAAGAATGTCAACATTTTTAAAACATAATTTTACATCAGTGCTGTGTTAACATCATGTTTTAACATTCTGCACTGGGCTCTCATTATTTAATCAAGGCAGGTTTATGGATCACTGACTGACAGGTGAATGGAAGGGGCATCAGGAAGGAGAGGGAGCAGCTTATTTCCCATTTCCTAATTCACATCAACCTTCAATTCCTGGCCTGGAATCCAGCCAGCTCCTCCACTAATCCCAGGCTCAGAGGTCAATGAGCCCAGGGTGAGGTAGGTGGGGGCTGCCTTAGGGCTGCCTGTTCCTTTTGTCCTCAGGAATTAAAATACATCCTGGCTAAACAGCAAACATCTCTGAGAGAGGCTTCCCGTGGGGGAAATGAGTGGATGTAGCTATTGGCAACCAGACAAGAAAAGCCAATTAACTGGGTGGAGGGCTTATGCTGAGAATGTGATGAATAATTTTGGATTAGGACTCCATGCCTTTATTCGCTTGTAATGACTGAGGCAGCAGAGTTAGAAGCTGGAATACAGCATCAAATTATTGTAGACTAAACCACTATAACTATCAAGTGTTTCAAATTCAGCAGCAGGAAGAGAGGACAATTCAGTAGATTGTATTGGATAAATTGTCTGGACTGAGCTAAAAGCCAAAGCACGGACTCGCTGCCCAGCCACGAAGCTTTCAGCTTCCAGCTTTGAAAACGAATTCTTATTACTGCCATCATTTAGCGACAAATGAATCAGGGTTGGTTTTTTTGTTGTGGTTTTTTTTTGTTTGTTTGTTTTTTGTTTTGTTTTCCATCAGGAGATTCTCTACTCCCCAACATCCTACCACTTTCCCATAACACCTTTGAAAGAGGGCAACTCTGGGTGATCTGGTGTAGAGATGGCCCTCTGACTTGGATCCAAAAACAGGAATTTTCAACAGTGGGTGTAAATTGTCAGAGAGGAGAAATGCAATTTGAGACATCGTTATCATCTCAAAACTATCAAAACAGGGCTTCCTAGAGCCAGGTCTATAAAATCCAATAATTAGCTGCAGAATCAAGTTGTTTTCTAACAGCCCATCTGGAGAATCCAACTGTTTTTCCAAATGTTCTGCCCTCTTTACATGTTTTGGTGAGGTCAATGGCAGACCTTTCATTTGGCAAAAAAAAAAAAAAAAAAAAAATGTTTTTATACATCAAAATAATAAGATGAATTCATAAACAAAAATACAGCTAAGTGAATAGGCTTGGGATAAACAAGTAGAGCAAAACGCTAAATGTGGACTACAAATAGCAGCTATTGGGTGTTCACAGTATAAGTTCTATCTTTTCTGAATGTTTGAAAATTTCTATACTAAAATAGGGAAGAAATAAGATAAAAAATGAAATCCACTGTTAAATAGAGAAACTATTACCAGCAAATTTTGGCCTGGACCATAAAGAACAGGCTTTAAGGAAAAAGAACTGTTGGACATCCACAGGGTCTGCATCTGGGAATTCAACCAACAGAGGATCAAAAATATTTTTAAAAATGCACAGACTTAAGCTGGAGATGTGGCTCAAGCTGTAACGTGCTCTCCTGGCATGTAGGGGGCGCTAGGTTTGATCCTCAGCACCACATAAAATAAAATAAAGATGTTGTGTTCACCGAAAACTAAAAAATAAATATTAAAAAAAATTCTCTCTCCCCCCCACCTCTAAAAAAAAAATGTACAGACTTGCAGGCTGGGATTATGGCTCAGTGGTAGAATGCTTGCCTAGCATTGGAGAGGCACTGGGTTCAATCCCCAGCACCACATAAAAATAAAAACAAATAAAATAAAGGTATTGTGTCCATCTACAACTACAAAAAAAAAATTTAAAAATGAACAGACTTGGGCTGGGGTATGACTCAGTGGTAGAGCACTTACCTAGCAAGTGTGAGGCACTGAGTTTGATCCTTACACCACATAAAAATAAATAAAGGTATTTTTTTAAATACACAGAGTTTTGTCATTATTTCCTAAACAATAAGTATGACATTTATTTACACACTGTTTACATTGTGCTAGTTATAGGTAATCTATTGACAATTTAAAGTAAATGAAAGGGTGTGCATAGTTTATATCCAAATACAGCTAATCCTTGAACAACAAATGTTTGTGCAGTGGAGGTCACTCATATTTGGGCTATTATTTTGGAGAGATCTTTGACAATTAAAACAACTTGTAGAAGCTAATAAACTCCGTAGCTTAGAAATATTTTTAAAAATTAAGAAAAACATGTCATGAGTGCATAAAATATATGTAAATAGTCTATTTTATAATTTACTACCATAAAATATACACAGCTATATTATAAAAAGTTAGAATCTATGGGCTAGGGATTTAGCTGAGTGGTAAAATGCTTACTAACATGCACATGGCCCTGGCTTGATCCCTAGCAGCACTCCCCACAAAAGTTAAAATTTATCAAAACTTATACAAACAGACCTGTACATGGTGCCATTTGCAGTTCAGAGAAATGTAAACAGTTGTAAAGACGTAGTATTAAATCAACTGCATAAAATTAACTATAGTACTAGACTACTGTAATAATTTTTGTGGCTACCGCCTCTTGCTGTTGCAGTGAGCTTCATGTTGCAAATATCCGCTTAAAATGCCCTATGATGCTAATCATCTCCATGTGAACGGTCTCTGTCCAGTAAATTGCATATTGCAGTAAAAAGTGATACCACAAGGTTTTGAGCATTTTCACCAAATATAATACATACAACATATAAAATATATGTTAAATTGACTAGGTTATTGATAAAGCTTCCAGGCAACAGCAATAAAGTTTTGGGGGGTGTCAAAAGTTATATGTGGATTTGTGACTGCATAGGGACCCTAACCTCTATGTTGTTTATTGGTCAACTATATCACACCATTTTATCTAATGAACTTTAACATCTGCAGATTTAGGTATTTTGGCAGGGTGTAGAGGGAAGTCATGGAGCCAATCCCCTGTGGATACTGAGGGATGACTTTACTTTTATCATAACACTGTAGTATGAGTTTCTTTTGTAGTTAAAACATTCCATTAAAGCTATTTCCATTAAAAACAATAAAAAACATTGCAATGGTACATGTCTGTAATCCTAACAATTTGGGAGGCTAAAGCAGGAGAATCATAAGTTTGAGGCCAGCCTGGGAAGGTTAGAGAGACCCTGTCTCAAAATAAAAAATGGGCTGTGGTGTACCTCAGTGGTAAAATGATAAAGTAAGCCTGGGTTCAATCCCCTGTACCACAAAAAACAACAATACAAATAGCTGGGGATGGTGGTGCTTGCCTGTAATCCCAGCTACTTGGAAGGTATACACAAGAGGATCACAAGTTCCAGAACAACATGCACAACTTTAGTGAGACCCTGTCTCAAATAAAAAAAGGGATGGGTATTTAGCTCAGTGGTACAGCGCTTGCCTAGCCCTGGGTAAAATCCTCAGCACCACAAAAAATAAATAAATAAATAAATAAAGTAGGTCAGATCATCTCATTCTTATCCTCAGAATACTTAACAGGTTTCTGCTGCCAAAATCAAGTGTGCACACCTTACTTGATGATGTTTCAGCTCTTCACATGCCTTCATAGCAAGGGGACACTGATACAACACACCAATGACATGCCTTCATATGCACACTGCTCCTTGTCTGACATTCTTTTTCCACTTTTCAAAACCTCCACAACAATCCCTAGGTCCTCTAACTGCTCCCACTCCGGCCCTGTATCTCAGCAGCAGTGTTTCTTTCATCCTGTCTTATTCTAGAACGTGAACCTGTGACTTCCCCAAGTGCCTTCCACATGTCTGCATGTCTGTATGTCTGCTTCTCCATGTAGGTTAAAATCATTCCTCCGATCAGAGCATGAACTCAAATGTATTTGTTAAACAGAAGAACAAATATATTTAATTTCAAGTGAGTTTTTACCAAGCTGAACTACACAAAAAAGTAAGATTTAGATCAAAAGAATGGATAAGCATTATGGAAGCAATGTAAATAAACTTTAAAGGTTAAAGAGCTGGTTACATCTGAATGAGGGCTAATATAGATATAGTTTAAATTCAAAACCAAAGTTGTGGCAAACCACTACTGATCATTCTCTACCTTCAGTCTATGATGGCACCGTTAGCACACCTGCTATATCCCTACCACATCACTTCTTCCAGAGAAGAAGAAAAAATGTAGAAAATAAATTAGTCCAAAATAAATCAAAAATATATTTTACATAAATATAATATTTAAAATAAAAACTTTTTTTAAGGTGCTAAGCCTAATGGCCATCTTACTTAGTGAACTTTGCCATGCCAGACCCTTAACTCCAACTTCCTTTATAAGCCTCTTTCCAGGTGACACAGTTCCCGCCTCTCCCTCTTCCTAACCCCGCCTCTCCCTCTTCCTAACCTGTTCATAGAGAGAGCCTATTACCCAGGCAACAGATTACACACAAAGTTGTGCTTGCTGGGGGGCTGGAGGTAGTGAACATGGAGGGGAGTGCTCAGAGAGCTTCCAGTACCTCAGGGTGACTGTGTAGCTGCTCCAACGGCATTTGATA